ATGGTATGTGGACCCTACAGACATTTTTTTCCCCAGTGCCACTCCCCGCCTTCATATATTAGGACTGGACTTTTTCATTTTCTGCATTTCTGTATTCCCTGCAACCTAGAACAGTGCCTGGCACAGAACACATGTTCAATAAATAGCTGTTAAATTAATGAATAAAAAAGCCCTGGGGTGATGTCCCACATGAACCCAGAAACAGTTGGAAATGCTGTGGCTTTTCTGTGTCAGGACTTTAGCGTCTCAGGACCAGGTATGGCCAACTCTGTCACGATGGGAGTGGGAGGGGAGGCTATGCCATATCTGAAGGGTCTCCTCCGCTGCCTGCCTGCACTCAAAAAAAGAGTCTGTAATACTAGGGAATCAAGGAAACCTGGACCCCAAAATTGTCACGTCCTGGCTCTGTATGTTCGTTAATCTCTCTGATGCACAATTTCCTCTAAAAAAGAAAACCATAAACCCTCTCCCCACATGGTTGCTGGTGGCAGAATGTACATAACTGACTACACGCAGGTGAGGGGCCTGGCCAGTCATCGCCCGATAAACAGTGACCGCCAGCACCACTCTCATCATCACCGTCACCATCAGTGTCCAAGGCAGTTCCTGCCACACGGCAGCCAGTGTGACTGCTCCACCCCCAGTTCCCTCTCCGGACCAGGTTGAGTGGCGCTGGCCATGCTGTGGTTTGAGTGAATGGTGCCCTCTGCTGGCTGCTTAGGGGAAGTGCCTCCAGGGAAGTAACAGCTATGGCTGAAGTCTTCTGTGGTCAGGAAGGGCGGTTTCCATCCAAGGTGTGTGTGGAGATAACTGGCCCTGTCAGTCCCTCAACCACCACCACTGTAGTGATGAGAACAACACCTACTCCTGTGCCAGACACCCTTCTAAGCACTTTCCAGATATTAACTCACTCCTCCATCTTCCAGTCGATAAAAAGTGAGGCACAGAAAGGTTAAGTGATTAGCCTAAGGGGTCACTCCTAGAGGTGCTGGGATATGAACACTGATGGCAGTGTTTTAGTGGGAGGTGAGAGGTAGGCTCTGCCTTTAGCCACAAGGCATGGGACCCCCAGTGAGTCTGGAACTGAACACGCAGGGTATGGGCTGCCCGAGAAGCTTCCCAGGGTGACTGCCCCACCCTTTCAATGACAGGACTGTTGCCTGGCTGACCTCAGGGCCCCTCCCTTACTGGCCAGCCCTCAGCATTTCCCTACCTGTGCCTTCTTGCTGCATTCCTGTGTGGGCCTGTGGTTAGGAAGGGCCACGTCTATGACCATAGGAAACCATGAATTTGAGGCCTCAGCTACTCGCCAAACTTCTAGGGATGACAGCCATCCCTTGGGGCCCTTCTAGGCCTGGGGCAAAGCCTGCCTGGTGATACAGGTCCTATCGGCAGCCTTTCTGGGAGGAAAAAAAAAGATGGTCAGGTCAGGTACCAGGGAAAAGGCATGGTGAGAAGTGAGCCTTGGGCTCTGCCCATCTGAGCTCTATTGGAGGGACTTGGGGAGTGCCTGGTTTTGGAACCTCTATCTTTTCCCATCTGAAAAATGATGGGCAGATTTTGAAAATGCTCTGCATTTGGGTTCTTAAGGAGAAACATTGGGAGGACAAGGCCAAAGGCCAGTCTCCGAGCAAACTGACCCCTTCTTCCCATGGTTTTATCTTTTTTGGGGGTTAGACTTGGATTCTGCAACTTTGGCTTTAAGTCTGGAGGGGAAATCATTTAACAGAATGAGCCCAAGGGGTCCTTTCAGCACCAACCCATCATCCTGGACCTTCACTCAGAATCAGGCAGCCTCGATCCCAACCAGGACCATGGGCCCTCCTCACTTCTCTCCAGGTGTTGGAGGACTAGCGTTGAGGCGTCTGCATAGATGGATGCTCCAGGGAATTTATTTTAATACTGTTACAAACAAAAAACTAGAATCACTAGTGGCCATGGGTGGCGGTGAGACTCATTCAGTTCAGTTACAGAGTCATGTCTGACTCTTCGCAACCCATGGACTGCAGCAAGCCAGGCCTCCCTGTCCATGAATCCAGGCTGACATGAGACTTCCCTGGTGGTGTCCAGTGGTTAAGACTCTGTGCTTCCACTGCAGGGGGCCCAGGTTCAACCCCTGGCTGGGGAACTAAGATCTCACATGCTGCATGGTGCTAAAAAACAAAAAACACCATGCTAACTCATCCAACCTAGATGTGTTGGAGACAATAAGGCAATGTATCATTGCACAACCTGTTAGAAAAGATACAATGCAAAATGTGCATGTAGTGCATTGGAGGGCGGGGGGAGTAAAGGATGGAAGGATTCATGCTCAACTGTTGGACATCAAAATGTGAAGGATTAATGTTCAATGTGCACAAAGGCCAACATTCAGGTAGTCCCCGCTGGTATGACTGGCCACACTGGTTATCTACAATTAGCATTCACTGAGTGGTTGGCCCTGGCGAGTCACTAGCTGCAAATATTCTAACTTATTACAGGTCCTAAAGACCAGAGTTCATTCTGCAGAAGAGACACAGGTCCCAAGTGAGAGGGTGACATAACATCCATCCCCATCACATAGCCCAGGATCCTTCTTTCCAGATCACTCAGAGGCTGCAGGGCAGTTCCACTGCCAAGGGAATCCAGATCCACTGCAGAGAGCAGGCTTGGCTAGGAAAGTTTGCTTTTGCTCCTCCACTCCCCCCCACTCCAGAAAATCTCAGAGGAGGAAGGGCAGCCTGGACAGTGGCTGCTTGGTTTTATTATTAGTCTCAGCAAAGATATAGGCTTTATTCAGGCTTCTCAGAGAGGAGTTTAAGATAACGGGCAGCAGGTGTTTGCTGGTTGAGACACCTAATCCTTCCCATACAACCTTATCAGCAAGAGCTGCAGGGCCCTGGTGGAGGGGACGCTGAGGTTGAGGGAGCCAGAGGCTGCAGCTCCAGGGAGAGACAGGAGGCAGCCAGGAGCGTGGGCTGAGGCGCTGTGGACCTAGGGTGGGTGAGACACTTTCTTATCAGACTTTGTTCCCTTTAAACTTCCCCATCCGGGGTCTGAGGCTTCAGGACACCCACAGCCTCACCCTTCGGAGTCAGTTCAGTCCCTCAGTCGTGTCTGACTCTGTGACCCCACGGACTGCAGCGCGCCAGGCTTCCCTGTCCTTCACCAACTCCCGGAGCTTGCTCAAAACGCATGTCCATCGAATCGGTGATGCCATCCAACCATCTCACCCTCTGTCATCCCCTTCTCCTCTTGCCTTCAATCTTTAAGACTTTTCAGAGTCTCAATCTTAAATTGTGTGAGTATCAGATTCACCTGAAAGGCTTGTCAGATGAGACTGCAGGGTCCTGCTTGCTAGTAGTTTCTGGTTTGGCAGTGGTGCTGAGGCCGCTGGTCTAGGGACGGCCCCCTGGAGTACCATTTCTTTACAGAATCAGTCATTCTCTCTTAGGAAGGAGACATCTATTTCCACTTCAGTGATCTTCTCGGCTTCACTTCAGATTCTTTTCTTCTAGTTCATTGTAAAGATAAATTTAAAACTTTGCTTTAACAAGGGCACACGTGGAATTCCTGCTGCCTCTTCATCCTTATTCCTGCCATCTGTCCCCTGTTTTGTCAGGAATGTTCTAATTTCATTGACATCCTGGGCGAGTTCTCTAATCTTCTGGCTTGATTCTGGTGTCAATCACGCATCATTTAACAAAAAATAAAACGAAGCCATTCTTAAAATGAGGAAGATTCCCTCAGAGGGTGATTGTGAGGATTTGTTGAAAGGAAATAATTGGAAGTTAAGTGCTGTCTGGGTCTAAAAAGTATTGACTAAACGGTGGCTGTTATCAATAAACACGGATAGCACCTGCTATGTGAGGGATGTGAACTCACTTCATCTCCACAGGGACTCCCCATTTTACACATGAGAAACTTGAGGCGGGGAGACGTTAAGCAACTTGCTAGGAAGTAGTAGTGCTGGACCCTATTCCCACCCACCCCCCGAAAACATCCTGCCTTTCGGCATAAAGCCCACAGCACAAAGAGGAAATCTCCCCATACTGCTGGTCCAGAAAAGAGGAAACCTCCCACTACTGCATCTGTGGTGCGGCTCGTTCAGGAGGAAGGAAGTTAATGGTTCTCACACAGGGACAGCAGCTCTCATCTGTAGGTAGGTGAGCTGACGTCTGCCTCCTCCGGGTCTGTAAACAAATCCTGAGCTTCCACTACTATCAGGAGGAAGCTGGGGTGAAGCCCACAGGGATAAAAGCACAACTCCACACAACTCTGCAAATTCTAGAAAACCAATGAATTGTACACTTTACATGAGTGAATATGGTATGTGAATTATACGTCAATAAAACTATTAAAAAAAAAAAACACAAAACTTCACTCCCCTGCCACCTCTGGGAAAAAGTTCCTTTAATAAAAAAGTTCTAGTACATTTACAGGATTGTCATCACTCTTCATCTACAGCACTCGATAGTGAAAATAAAAAATAAAGGGCCACCTAGATGTGCTCAGTATAAAAACACAGTTATCCAATCAAACAGGAGGCCTGGGGGCCCAGAGACCAGAGAGAAATGCGTGAGGGAACGCCTGGGCTTCTGGAGGGCTCCAGGGGTGGTTGAGGACCTGCCTCTCACTTTTTGAAAATAGCATTAAAAAAAATGCAGATTGTGGTAAGAGGCCTCTTACTAAGGAAAAGGGTCCATTCCAGAGCAAAAGCCATTATGGGGGAGTCAGAGCTGGTCAAGGCCCAGGACCCAGGGCTGAGCATTTTACGGCAGCAGGGAGACTCCCAGAAATTGGGCAGCCCTGGCCTAGGCTAAGAGGTGCTCACTGTTGAAATCAAACTGCCCACATTCCTCCATTCTGAAAGGCATAGAGACCTGCCCCTTTGAGGTCAGCTTCGAGGCCTCTTCCCTCCAAGTTGCTAAGGCCACTTCTCAACAAGCTGCAAAGTCCTTGGCCAAGGTGGGGACAAAGACCCCTTGGAGACGCTGCCGTGGCCCGGTGTTTAGGGAGACCTAGTCATCCTGGCCCCCGCCGTACATGTCCGCCAGCTTCTTGAAGCGGCTGCCCCACTCGTTCAGGTAGTCGTAGTCTTGGTCCTGGTCAGAGGCCGAGGAGGTGAGCGAGCTCAGAGAGGCGGCATCGGAGCCACTGCCCTCATAGTCGAACACCAACAGGGAGTCATAGGGCGGGGCCGTGGGGTCTGTGTTGGCCGCCTTCAGGTTCTGGGGGATGGAGAGCAGGGTGTTAGGAGCTGCGGGACCAGACACGGGGCAGCTGCGAGAGCTCAGGAAAGTGAACTCATCTGGCTGAGCCTGCATTTCTTCATCTGCAAAGCCCCGTCTCCCCTCCCTTAGGGTTTTGAAGGTTGAACATGAAATGCACATAAATCCTTAGCACAGAGACCAGCGGAGAGCGAGTTCTCAGCGCCACAGGCCAGCGGTTCAGGGTGGGGACTCTGAAGGCAGACTTCACACACGAGTGTGTGGACCTGGGCAAGCCTCTTAAAGTCTCCATGCCTTCGTTTGCCTCATCTCAAAAACGCGCGCTAAGTTGCTTCAGTTGTGTCCGACTCTTTGCGACCCCATGGACTGTAGCCCGCCAGGCTCCTCTGTCCATGGGATTCTCCAGACAAGAATACTGGAGTGGGTTGCCATGCCCTTCTCCAGGGGATCTTCCCAACTCAAGGATCGTTGAACTCACGTCTCTTATGTCTCCTGCAGTGCCACCTCGGAAGCCCCCCATCTCAAAAATGGGGAGACTTCATATAGTTTCAGAGGAAGAAATGAATGTATCTTAGTATAAAAGTGCATATTAGAGTTACAGGGGAACATAACAGAATTCCTCCTCTGCAGAGTTGACATGACCAGGCATTAAATGAGACAGTTATTTGCAAACTGTCCAACACAAATATTCTGAAAACTGTCTTCATTCAACTGGAGAGATCTCCTGGCCTTTGGCTCCAAGGCAAAGATGCTCTGAGCAACTTTCCCCAGATGCTTTTGTTTCTGTATAGAATTCTCAGATGTGCTTAAGGCTAAAGAACAGAGTCTCACCACCAGGCTAGTTCAAGAAAGCAAGAAAGGTAAGCAGGGTTCAGGCCAAAGTAAGGTATCCTGACCATCCACTGAGCCCTGTGCCTACTGCTGCTTCCCCCAACCCCCGAAATCCATCCATCCTTCCCTCCTTCCTCTCCTGCTCCCTCCTCCTTCCCTCCCTCTTATTAAAAACCTCCTTTTATTGACTGCTTTCATGGTACCAGCCTATGCTAGCCTCACATGGTTTATCTCCTATGTACCTAGGTTGTGATTCTCACAACCCTGGCTGTATATTTTATTTCTTGGGGAACTAAAGAAACATCAGAGCTTATTAATTCCCTGGTGATCCAGTGGCTAGGACTCTGCGATTCCACTTCAGGGTGCACAGGTTCCATCCCTGGTTGGGGAACTAAGATACTGCATGATGTGCAGCATGGCCAAAAAAAAAAAAAAGAAATCAGAGCCTAAAAAAAAAATGAATATCTGGGTCCAAGGCACTGATATTTTTAAAAATTCCTGAGATAAATCAAGTATGTGCCCAGAATTGAGAATATGGGGGACACTTAGCAGCAAGAGCTGTCATTACCTGATATAGGATAGGTGCCAGGCCAGTGGTTTCCAAACTTAAATTACCTGGGAATCTTTTTTTTAAATTAATTTATTTTTTAATTGAAGGATAATTGCTTTACAGAATTTTGTTGTTTTCTGTCAAACCTCAACATGAGTCAGCCACAGGTATACATATGTCCCCTCGCTTTTGAACCTCCCTCCCATCTCCCTCCCCATCTCACCTCTCTAGGTTGATACAGAGGCCCTGTTTCAGTTTCTGGAGAGAGTAACATGGAAACTTATATTACCATATGTAAAACAGATAGCCAAGGGGAATTACCTGGGAATCTTTAAAAAACCAACCTATCCCAGAGGCCCCCAACTTTACTGGAATCACCTGATAATCTTTACAAATTCAAACCCAGGGAGTCCGGCTCCCAAGTTTTCTCCTAACAACCACTATATGTGTTGAATAAAGAAATAATTCCTAATCAAAAGTCCTGTCAAACCAGAGATCACCTGGAAAAGTCAAGAGCGTTGACTCCGAGTTCATCTAGACTGCAACAGAGCCTGCTCTTCCTCATTGGTTTTTATTGATCAAATTGCTCGTCTGTGCCAGACCCAGTCCTCATTTACCTTTCTTCAATGATAAATGAAAGTGAAAGTGTTAGTCACTCAGTCATGTCTGACTCTTTGTGACTCCATGGACTGTAGCCTGCTAGGTTCCCCTGTTCATGGAATCCTCCAGGCAAGAATACTGGAGTGAGTTGCCATTTCCTCCACCAGAGGCTCTTCCCAACCCAGGGATCGAACTCGGGTCTCTAGCAATGTAGGCAGATTCTCTACCACGTGAACCACCAGGGAAGATGATAAACACCAACAAATTAAAAGAAAAGAAAGAATTCCTAACCTATTCTTTAACCACTTCGAAACTTTGGGTTTAATGGAGGAGGAAACAGGAGGCCCAGAAGTTGCTATATATGCCAGAGGTCACACTGCTAGCTTGTTGGTGACCGACCCAGGATTTGAACCCAGAGCTAAGACTCCAAGCCCGTGCTCTTTCTCTCATGCTGCTGGTGCCTGAACGAAAGACTGCCCCAGGCTGGGCCCCCACGCCTCACCTCGATGATGAAGTTGCCGATTTCATCTGGGTTGGCTGGCCGAGGACGGTACATGGGTGTGGGGGTGAAGGATGGTGCCACATCATTGCGGAGAACCACCTCAGGACGGGCCTCCAGACCCCGGTGGAGTTGGGTGATGTCATAGTCCTTCCGGAAAGGGAGGAGGACATGGGATGGAGAAGAGCCCTCCCACTCCCCCCATTTACACTTCACCCCACTTCTGTGCCACTTGGATGTTTTGGTTCAAGTGAAGGTCTTAGAAGACAATGTCAGAGATCTCTGAAAGCCTTAGATCCCACATTCCCTCCTCTCAGATTAAGCACAGGCTCAAGGTTGGACTGGCTAGGGCCAGAGACAAGAGCAGTGGATAAGGCACCCTCTCAGAAGACTGACGCTTCAGGCCAGGGTCTGGTCGACGCAACTAACATGGTCAGTTGGCTGACCCAACCATCCCTGCCAGGGGTCATGGGGGCACCACCTCCTGACCCCAGGACGGCCCCCCAGTGCCCTACCTGGTCCTCCTCACCACCCCCCTCTTCGCCGTAGTAGAAGACGTTGTCACGGGTGTCATCTTCTGGGAGGAGAAGGGGCTCCTTGATCTTCCGCTTCTTTCTCACCAAGAACAGGAGCACCAGCAGGAGGACTGCAAGAGTTGGGGAGTGTGAATATTCACCCCCAAACAACCACATGGCTGGCCAGCACCCCCAAACTCTTGAAGTCCCATGTAATTTTTGATCCCTCCACTCAGTCGCCAGAGCTTCACACACTTCAGTGGCCCCTGTGCACCTAGGAAAACCCTCGCCTCCTCATCAAGGCTACAGGACTAGCCCGACCTGTCTCCAACCCTCCCTCTCTGCCCAGGTCTGGTCACATTGGCCTCCTCGGGGCTCCCTGAATATACTCAGCAGTCTCCCACTTCAGAACCTTCATCCTGGCTCTTTTCTCACCAGGAGCACTCTCCACGCATACATATGGCTCTCACCTTTCTGCTCTCAGCTTAAAACCACTTCCTCCTACTGGTATTCTGACTTCATTTCCCCATCTGTAATTCTGTATCATTTTACTGTTAGTCTTCCCATATTGATGTACTGGTCCTTATGGAAATCCTCCTTTGTGGGGATGGGAATCTCCCAGTAGATGTTATTTTTTTGTTTTTGGCTGCACCATATGGCTTTCGGCAGCAGTCCGCAACCTTTTTGGCATCAGTTTTAGCGCTACTTTCTTCTTTGTGGAAGATAAATCTTCCACAGACGGAGGTGGGGGATGGTTTCAGGATGCTTCAAGGGCATTACATTTACTGTGCACTTTATTTCTATTATTATGATCAGCTGCACCTCAGATCATCAGGCATTTGATCCTGGAGTTTGGGGGCCCCTGGCTTACAGGATCTTAGTTCCCTGACCAGGGATTGAACCTGGGCCCACAGCAGTAAATGCACCCAGTCCTGACCACTGGACTGCCAAGGAATTTCCAGATGTTACTTTTCAATATGACTTTTCAGTCATGAGGTGTCCCATAATAGCCAGAGACTTTAAGTTAAAAGCAAGACAATGCAACTTTGATGTGGTGCAGTAATCTGAACTTAGGTGCAAACACTATTTTGGAATTTTAAGATAGGGAATGAGTTTCAGTGATATGATCTAAAAGGCTGGAGGTCTATTTGGACACAGTGGGGACTGGCTGATTAGTGCCCAGGTGCTGCCCCTAACTGCTGTGACTACCCCCAGTTAATTCCACATGAGGAGCGCAGCCCTGGCCCTCTCTGCGGCTATTTAATGGAGGAGGATACATCCACTGCTCAGCTTTATCCCCCTTTTTCACCTGCTGAGGGAACCATTGTCCTCTCTAGCCAGACAAAACTCATGGAGTCATCTTTGTGAGTCCTTGGGTTCTCAGGATGCACACCCTGTGTGGGTCAGACTGTGACCTTTCCCTCCCCTTTCCTCCCCACTGGCTTAGGGAAAGGCAGGAGGCAACCTGGATTGCCTACCTGCACCCAAAGCCTATGTTCAGCTGCCTACTGTTACCTCCATTTGGACTTTTCCCATGGTCCTTCCCAAACTGGTCAATGGAAACTCCGTGTTTCTGCTTGTTCAGGCCTTGAAGTCACAGATGGCTCTTTTCCCCATCTGAGTCTGAATTGATTCCACCTTGTAATATAACCAGCTCTCACTGCCTCTACTGCGACCCTGGGTCTGAGCCACAACTCCCCCCTCACCCCCAGATTATGGTAGTAGCGGCCCTCTACAGAATGTTCAGGAGGAATCCTGTAAAACCCAAGTCAGATCATATTGCTCCTCTGCTCCAAACCTGATGACTTCCCATTTCACCCAGAGTCCTTACAATAACCCACAATGCCCAACGCAATGCTCTGCCACAGCCATCACCTCTCTTCTCCCTCTTGCTTTTCCCACCACAGTCATTGCTGTTTCCACACAAAGCACAGAGCCACCTCAGGACCTTTGCACTGCGTGTTCCCTGGATATCTGCATGATCTGCTTCCTCAACTCATTCAGGTCTTTACTCACATGCCCCCTTCTCAGTAAGCCTGTTCTTGCCGATCCTACATAAAATGCCAGATCTCCTCCTCCCCTCACTTTCTTTTAATCCATAGCAACACCTATTTCTCTGGTGGCTTATTTGCTATCTGCTCTCTGCACTGGAAAGTAAGCTCCATGAAGGCAGGGGCTGGTCTGTTTTGTTTTTTTTTTAATTAACTGGAGGCTAATAACTTTAGAATATTGTGGTGGTTTTTGCCAAACATTTACATGAATCAGCCATGGGTGGACATGTGTCCCCCATCCTGAACCCCCCTCCCACCTCCCTCTCCATCCCATCCCTCAGGGTCATCCCAGTGCACCGGCCCTGAGCACCCTGCCTCATAAATGTTGCACTCTCAGCACCTATCACAGTGCTCAGTGCAAGTACGATGGTTAATTAAAGCTTGTGCTTATTGCATTCATGTGTGAGTGAATGGGTGTTTTCTGTGTAAGGACAATTCAGAGAGTGAAAAAAGTAAATATGATAGGTTCTACCATGAGAGCAAAGAAATTAGTTTCCAACTAAACACTTCTGCTCACTAGACCAGTGTCTCTCAAGCTGAAACATGCATTAGAATCCACTGCAGGGCTTGTAAAAACACAGATTACCAGGTCTTACCCCTAAGCTTCTGACTTGGTAGGTCAGGGGTGAGCCAGGGAGTTGGCCTAGCCAATTCCTGGTGATGCTGATGCTCTTGGTCTGGAGACTACACCTTCAGAACCACCACTGTAGCCACCAGACGATGCGACATCAGGGCGAAATCTGCTCCCACTGTATCCCCAAAGCCTGGCACTTCCCAGAGGCCCCACAAACATCTATGGGATTAACGACACTTCCAGAATTAAGAGGACAAGGAACAGATGGGCAATGTTGGTGGCCCGAGTCTCTAAGTTTGGGGTGGACTCAGGTTTCTAACTACCCCCAACCTCAGAGGGGAAGGGTGCCAGCACTCACGCAGCAGAGCCAGGGCAGCACCCAGGATGGGGAGGAGGAAGCCCCCCTCCCAGCGTGGCGGGCAGGTCTTCACGTGGCCATGGCAGTTGCACACGGTGGCGCTGATCACCGTCAGCTGCTCCTTGTTGCCGTGGTCAGACAGGGAAAGGTGCACATTGTATGTGTCTTGCTTCAGGAACTTCTTCAGGGACAAGGCTACTGCATCTCCTGGAGCAGACAGACAATTATTCACCTCGGGAGGCCACGAATGGTGGGACCCAAGCCCACCACGATGGAGGTTTGAGGAGGCAAACTGCATCTGGGCCACGGGGAGTAACGTCTTCAAAGCACACTTATGCCGAGCATTACAAACGGACACTTGGTCCAAGCCAAATTCCCCACTGAGGGAAGGATTATATGAATAGAAGAATAAAGTCATCATTCTATTTTAAAAAATTAATAATCACAGTATTTCTAAATATGACATTTTAAAAAATTCATGGCATGCAGGGCCAATAATTTCTCAGCATCACTAGCTGCCAGATTGTTCTCTGCTTCAAAACAAACAAGCAAACAAACACTGATCTTCCTAAGAGACAGCTAGCACAATCTTTTAATATTTATATTAACTGGCCACCTTTTTTTCTACCTGAAAATTTATTACCATTTGTTATGGCAGCATTTTGCTCTTTCAATTGTATATATAATGTTTACACCTCAACTCTATGATAGAATTTCAATATATCTGAAACTTGGATAATTCTGAGTGAGCATCAGTTATCAAGAAATCCAAATGCATATGAGCTGGTGATGTAACTGATGCCCGGAGCATTAGTGACTGCACACAAGCTCAGAGGTGCTGGCAGTGAGGCTGTGCTGGGCACCATGCTAACTGGCCTTTGAAGGCCTTGGGGCAGGCAGCAGGCAGCCACAGAGCCGAAGCCAAGCTTTGGAGCAGCCTGCACAATGGGAGCCACTCTGGGGAGGCTGCTTGGCCATCGTGGAGTGGGGAGGGGGGCTACATTTGTGGGTGAGAAATATAAGGTCAGAGGCCTCTCTGAAGAAAGGCCTTCGGTTTATACCCAAGTTTCTCAAAGAGGGCACTATTAGCTTGGGTGGAACTATTCCTGAGCACTCAAGTCCTCATCACCCAATGCCAACAGTGTCCCCCAACCCCACGCATCATTGGGACATTCAAAAACAACCCCGCGTTTCTAGCCCACCTGCCCTCAGGCTTGCTGGCCTATCTCAGCACTGACCTCAAGCCACTTTCAGTTCACAGGCTCTGCACAGTCACTGGGCCCCTCTTAGCTGAAAGGCCAGAGGGAGAATTCACCCCGTTCCCACTCAGCAGTGGCAGACAGAGAGAGTTTTTGCATGCTGGATGTCTGGTCCACCGAGTGGAGAGGCCAATGTGGGGCATTTCATCAGAACATCCCTCCTGCCTTCCTGTTCCCAGGTTGGAGAGCTGACTTCTCAGCTGATGATGGTGCTGGTGGCAGCAGTGGGGACTCAATTGATACTATGTGCCAAGCCCAACTCTGATCTTCACCTCAACTTTAAGAGAAAGGTTCTGTTACTCCTCATTTTACAAATACAGACACTGAAGCTTAGGGAGGTCAAGTAAGCAGCCCCAGTTCACATGGTGTAGAGTTGGGATTAACTCCTCTGACAATAGAACACAGACAGACAGAACGACTAAGTCAAAACCAAGAACCAATGGTAGTGTCAGGTATTGGCACCACTGGGCTTTGAGGTAACGCTCCCTCTTGGCAGAGCTGGATTGTGCCTGTTGGTGAAGACGGCCACTGGCAGGGACTGAGCCCTGATGCACCAGAAGAAGCGCTTGTCACGTACTCAGTCTTCACAGTGGCTGGGCAGAGCTACAATTACTGGCACCATCCCACAGGTGGGGAAAACTGCTGAAGGCGAGGTTCAGTAACTTGTCCACAAGTACAAGCTGGTAAACGGAGGGGCTGGATATTGACCCAAGGTATTCTGACTTCAGAGGCTATGCTCTGTAAACCAACAGTCAGGGAGGGAAAAACAGCTTCCAGGCCACAAGGTGATAGGAGACCAACTTGGGTTTCCTCAAGGAAAGGTGCTGGGTATATACCCCCAAATCAGAGGAATCATAAAAACTGGACAATGTGTGTGTCTGAGGCAGGTCTCCTCAGTCCTTTCTGGACCAGCTCAGCAGCAGCAGCAGAGGACACCAGGCATTTGGTTACTTCAGGGAAGAACCTGAATGTACTGGTCCCCCATCCCCCTCCTGGGGGAGCCTAGCCCCAAGAGGAAGTGGGAAGCATTTCAAACCAGGGTGAGCTTCTCTGGGGGCCTTATTGGCACTTGGGCCAGGATGCGTTGTTCTCACGCGCCTGAGTCCTTGCCCATTTGATGCCAGTAAGTCCCCTCTTCAGTCCTGTGACAAGTGAAAAACCACTGAAGGCTGAGGAGCGTTATGGGGTGGGAAAGAGAAAGGACAGGGAGGTGGCTGGGAGCAGGGGCGTGAGGGCCAGGGACCTGTCTTCAACTTCTGTTCCACTGCTTACCCACATTGTACCTTTGGACATGCCATTTAACCTTTCTGAGCCTCATTCTCATCTGTAAACAGGGATAAAAACACTGACCACAGAGGATGGTAGAAATTTAAAATAAGAAAAAGTATAAAAAGCCGCTTGCACATTGCCAGGGGTGGATAAATGGTAGTCAGCGGAGGATCCTGGTAGAGCAGACTGCCTGCATCCCAATCCTGGGGCCATTATTTTCTAGTCATAATGCCCCGGCAGGATATTTAAGCTTCTGTAAGCCTTGGTTCCCTATCCGTCCAATGGGTGCACATACATGTATATGTATGATTAACAGTACCTGTGTTACAGGGTTGTTGTGAGGATTCAGTAGCTGAATCTATGTGAAGTGTCTGAAGTGCACATAGCACATAGCAAGCATGCTCAGGAATGTTAGTTGTTATTACTATGCTGGGTTCCCTACTCTTTCATCATGTCAGTGAGAAAGGCATGTCCCAGCTCTCTCTGGGCCTCAGTGCTTCCAACTGTACAGGAAGTGATTGGGCTAGAAGGGTCTTTAAGGATTCCTGTGGATTCCCAAAGGTTTAGACTAAGTTAATAAGCAGCATTTGACTGACATAGTTTTTGTTTTTTTTGGACTGTGCGGCTTGCAGGATCTTGTTCCCTGACCAGGCATCAAACCCATGCCCCCTGCAGTGGAAGCCAGGAGTTCCAACCACTGGACTGCCAGGGAATCCCCCTGACTGACATTCTTGAGGAGACCAGTAACTTGTGACCCACAAGACATTGGAGCAGGAAGGTAGATGCTGGATCTGGGTAGGGGAAAGACACCCGTCTGCCACCACCACTCGGTTACCTTTCTCGTTGACTTCTGCTGTCCAATAGACATCCGAGTCGTGTGCGAGTTGGGCCCGGAAAGGGGCAGTGTGGGGGGACAAGTCCTTGTCTGTGATGTTTAGCACCTGGGGCACAGGGCTTTGGTTGCAGATGGTGATCTGACGGGGCTCGGGGACCGGACCGTGGTCATTGATGTCCATCAGTGTTAGCAGGAGGGTCCCTGTGCCAGTGGTGGGAGGGCTCCCTGTTCAAATCACACATATGATCCCTTTTCAGCATCTGCCTTTGGCTGGATTGATGAATCTATATTAAGCTCCCCCAGGACTTACCCAATAAACCTCAGAAGGGTCCTGTTCACTGTCCAACTGTAACCTTTCAAGAGTTTCCCTGCCCTCGCTTCATTATAGATCAAACCAGTGACGGCAAATGCATGGCAAACATGCCATCATTCTCACTTTGTGTCCACAGCAGACATTACTAACTGATCACAGCACAGCCACTTCATCCAGACAGCCACTACCAATCTATCACCATGAGAAAAAGAATGGCCACCTCTCGCCTGACTCCAGGTCTTGGTTCAGTATGTGTCAAATAGAGATGTCGTTACATCATTACCCCCAACCCTGTCGTGGCGTGACATCACTCATCAATCGTAACACTTGTAAGGCAGCCTCTTTCATCAATCACAACGGGAAACCAATTCCCAATTCAGGGCTCAGTGAAGCACAAATAGGCTGAAAGGTATCTTTAGGATAACTCCTAACTCCTGGGTCTTAGGGAAACTGGAACCAGCCAACCCTAGGACCAACTACTCTAAGTCTCCTCCGAGAGAACACTTTGACCTCCCAGATAGGATTGCTGACACCCCTTCCCCACATCACACTCAGCCTGCAGAGGGGATGTGCTGTGTCCTGGGCTCCAGAGGGGCCCACACAGAGGGGCTGAAGGGAGCTCTCACCATCATCTGTGGCCAACACCATGACTTCGTAGATGTTGTTCCGCACAAACTGCTCATCCTCACGGTCTAAGACCCCCGCGGCAGTGACCTGTCCACTGTCTGGGTCCATCGCTAGCCACCCTGCCGGGTCTCTCAGGATGTGGTAACTGGAGCAGAAAAGTTGCAAAGAATCACACCCAGGATACTTCAGAGTTCCAATTTTAGTATATGTGCTGCTGAAGCGAGCACTGCTTCAGAGTTCTAGTGTCATCATTCAAAGTCTCCTCATGTCAACTGGCAGAGGGTTTCATGGGACTTGGGGATCCTAGGCAGGATCATGTGGAAAATACATCTCACCCCCAGTTGGGCTCCTGAGCAGAAGGTGGGAGGGGGCCAGCAGGGACATGTGAGAGGGAACAGGGAACACCTGTCCCCTGGACTTAACCTCCTCTGTTTGGACGGTAGGAAGGGAAGGCCCTGTGCAGGGGTGGTAGTCAAAATATTTAACAGTCTTTATGGCAATTAGAACAAGTACTGCTGCATACAATCAACAACCCACCCCACGTACCCATGTCTTTGGCTGAGCTCGAGCCAAGCCCTTGCATACCTGACCTGCTGACTGCCCTTGTCCGGGTCCCGCGCGGTGTAGGCACAGACAGGCCCCCCAGTGGAGATGCCCTCCTGCACTTCGATGACTTTGGAGGGCGGGACGAACACGGGTGGCTCATTCACATCCTCCACTTGGACCACCACGGCGGCTGTGGAGGTCGGGAGTTTCACCACAAAGGGAACCTCGTTGATCACTTCAACGTACAGGGTGTGCTGGGTTTTGGCCTCAAAATCCAAGCCCTGGGAGAGAACAGGAAGGAGGACCAGAGTCGTCATTTTGTGAGGAGGCCCCATGCCATGCTGTGATGTCTGGAAGAGAGGGCCCACCACGAGGGGCTGGGGCTCCCATCAGCAACAATGCTGCCCCTGGCTGCCCCATAGAGCCTCCTGGTTTCCTCCTGAATTTCTGGAGTGGATACCTAGGTGGGCCTCTCAGACCATCACCCCAAAGGCAACTAGACTAGTAAGCCCGAAGCCTAGAACTGGTTCCCAATGGGGTGACGACGCTCCATAGTGGGTGTTGATGGAACTTGGAGGGGGCATTTCTAGGTGTCCTAATGACAGGGAACGCCCCTGGTTGGGGCAGGGACACAAAGAACTATCCCATGTCCCACGGGACTTGCCAACATCCCCCGGACATTCATGTATTCCTGGGCGTGAAGCTCTGTTTATATTTACAGTCTAGAATGTGTTTTCCATATAAATTAAGTTTTTGGTGTGGTTTTAATTTATACTAAATTTCCTAGGAATGCAACTTCTGAGGGGAGCTCATAATTTGTTCAGGCCTTTCCTCAAGTTGTTTATTTGAGGTTCTGGAAAAACATCAATACCACTTGTGGTATGACTCACTACAGCGACATACAGTATCTACTACACTTGGATGATTCCACAAACAGATGCAAGAAACTGACCGCTTCCTCATGTTTTCTAGTGTAGTTGTGCCCAAAGGTTTACACAGGGAAGCATTTTATTATCAGTAAATTTTCCTGAAAATTCTCCTTTATTTTAATTAGGGCATTCCATTTTTCTAGAAGTTACATAAGTTAGAGAAGTTATATTAAAAACAGAATTCATTTTACAATGTGAAAGGGGCATTACAAAACTTTGGTTACAAGGAGGGGACAGCTTTTAAAGTATTGTGGCTCAGATGGTAAAGTGTCTGCCTGCATTGCTGGAGACCCGGGTTCGATTCCTGGGGTGGGAAAATCCCCTGGAAAAGGAAATGGCAACCCAGTCCAATACTCTTGCATGGAAAATTCAATGGACAGAGAAGCCTGGTAGACTACAGTCCACAGGGTCGCAAAGAGCTGGACATGACTGAGCGACTCACTTTCACTTTCTTTCTCAAACTGGGCCATTCTTTATAATAAACCAAGAGGTAAAAGACATCAAGAAAGATTAGTCCGACTTTCTTGAAGCATCAGTTATACTCAAGATTTTTCAAGAGGCAAGGGTATGCCTAGACGTAATTTAAAACAGTTAAAGTAATTTAAAACATTTGAAGTAAAACATTTTACCATCCAAACACCAAGATGTGAACTATGGATTGAAGGCAAAATAGCAAGGATTCCAATAAAACAGACCCTCTGTGTTAAGACCAATTAGGAGCAGCCACTAGACATACTGGGAGGAGGGGCCCCACTGACTGGCCTCAATTAGATCAGTGATTCTGTTTTATGCATCTGTTTTATGAACTGAGTCCCGGGGGAAGATTTAAACAAAGGAATTCCCCACATAAGAGGGATGGGAGAGTGCTGCAAGCCACGGGCCTGGTACACTCCCTGGTGAGTGGTCCCAGGTATGTGTCCCGGGCAGGCAGTACCCCTAGTCCTGGAGACTGGAGAATGGAGACCTCCCTGCCCCAGGTGTGGCCCCTGTGCAAAGCCCAAACTGACTCACCTTCTTGGTTGTCAGGATACCCTGGTTGCTCTCGGGGTCAGTAGTGATGGTAAAATGGTCCCCGTTGTCACCTCCCATGATGCGGTAGGTGGCACGCCATGCCGGTGAGTTAGGAGCATCCAGATCAGTCACTGTCAGCCTCTGCACCTCGTGGCTCACTGCGTTCTCGGGCACGCGGGCCTCGTACTGTCAGCGTGGAAAACACAGCACTTTCAGAGCGGAGAGGCTGACTCCTCCGAGAGGCGGCTCTCCTCTCTTCACAGGCTGTGAGTCCTCTGCCCAACTCCGGGGGAGCCCCAAGCCGCTCACCCTTTCTGGGACATGCACAGATGCAGAATGTCCCAGGAGTCAACTTCACAGCTTGCTAGGACAGACACATCGCAGTGACCCTGGGCCTGTTTTCCCTACATCCCACGGCCTGATGCTCCCAGAATCTCAGCCATCCGGGTGCCCAAAGCCCCAGGGAGAGTGGTCAGCTGTATCTAGCTGAAATCAGAAAGGCACAAGGAAGATGGCAAGAAGGGCTAGGTGTCTGATTGCTCTGAGGCACTGACCAGGGACTTTTTTGGAAATTCAGAACAGATGGCCGTGATGGGGAAATCAGCTATTCTGAACAGGCCTGAACAGTATTTAGCAGCCCAAGTTACCTAAAGATGGAAGCGGGTGGGTATCATCTTGACTAGCACTGAGTCCTATGTCACATGAAGTGACAAGCACTCACCGGGGCTAGGTGGGCAGGTGTAGGTATGAGTCAAGTTAGGAATTTCCATATCAACAAAGATTTTCTTTTTTTTTTTTTTTTTTAAGATTTTCGTATTTAGCACTTAGGTACCAGCGATTATGCTAAGAACTGTACATAGATTATTTCATTTAAAACTCAGAACAATGCAGCAGGTATTAACATTGTCTCTGTTTCACAGACTAGGAAATAGAGCACAGAGAGGTTAGGTGCTTCGCCTCAGTTCACATAGCTTACAAGTGCTGGGGCTGGAACTTGAAGCAATGCAGGTTGATTTTGGAAGTTTCATCAGAAAGGAGAAACTCAATTCCTCATCATCTGACAAGGAAAGAATGCATGAAGGAAAGGGTGTTACCTTCTGGGGATCAAACACAGGAGCATTGTCGTTGGCATCGAGGATTTCCACTATGGCCATAGCCGTGGTGCTGGAGCCGTCCCCATCCATGTCTGTGGCCTGGATGGTCAGAGTGTACTCAGGGACTCTCTGGGGAGAAAAGGAGTTGGAAGTGGAAGCCCCTGAGAGCAGGGCACAGCCTTGAGTGTATGTGGAGGGAGGGGAATGTTTCTCCCTTCCAGTGTTCTCCTGATCCCTTGCTCGCCCACTGCAGGAAAGACCAGGAGCCAAGGGTGGAGGGAGAGGGGAACTGTGAATCCAAATGGTTCTCCTGGGCCGGTCAGTCATGGGGTGCAGCCTGGGCACTGCCTCCTGACTCAGGGAGGATCCAGAAAGGGAGCTCTGAGCAGGAGCTTGGCAAAGGTATGAATTAGGGAACTCTAGTACCCATGGGTGGAGAAGGAAATGGCAACCCACTCCAGTGTTCTTGCTTGGAGAATCCCAGGGATGGGGGAGCCTGGTGGGCTGCCGTGTATGGGGTCGCACAGAGTCGGACATGACTGAAGCGACTTAGCAGCAGCAGTACCCACGGAGCTAACTGCTTTGTGGTACACGTGGGACAAATCTGGGCAATGTGCATGCTAAATGAGCCATTCCAAGAGGAAATGAGAAAACCTGCGGAAAATATCAAATGTCTGTGTTTCACAGCTGCCTCCTCAGCCTAATGAGATGGCTTGGCAGAGTGCCACCAGCCCAAGGGTGCTGTGGGACATCGATACAGGACCTGGCCACAGCCCTTCCCGGCCGACTCGGGCTCTGAGGCAGGGGCATCTGCTCTAAGTGTCAGGGCCTGGCCTGGGCAGGCAGCCCCTTCCTGAAGGGCCACTCACCTCCCGGTCCAGGCCACTGGAGATGACGCTGATTGTGCCCGTGCTCCGGTGGACTGTGAACATGAGGTCGTGCGGGTCCTTTGGTTCTTGACTGTAGATGGAGTAAGCAACCACCCCATTGTAGGTGTTGATGGCGTCATCCTCATCCGTGGCTGTCACCTGCATCACGGAAGTGCCTGGAGGGGAGAAGGGCTGATAAGTGAGCACCCTGCCCTCCCAGCGCCAACTTCAGCCTCACCCACTTCTGGAACCCTGAGAGGTTCCACCCTGCACGGCAGTTTGGACCCACCTTCCCCTCTCATCAGAGACTGCTAGTTGCTGCCCACTTCCCATTCTCCTCTTCTTCCTTAGAAACATAATCCTCATAATCACTCTATTCTGGGCACAGGCCCACCAGGAACCAAGGCCATTTCCCACCACTTCTTGCAGCTAGCTGTGGCCACGAGACTGAATTGTGACGAATGGGATAAATAGCTTTGGGGGAAGCATTTTTCTGAATTAAGGGGTTTACTCTTCCCACCTGTTCCCTCCTTCCAGAAGTAACGGCTGGAGCTCCAGCAGCAATCATGAGGTGATCTTGGGAACGAAGCCAAAACAGCAGAGCAATGAGATACAACGAGCCTAGGTCTCCTACGCTTTAAAGCACCATTCCAACCTGGCCTGACCACGTCTAGGCTTCTGGAATACAAGGGGGAAGAGGCTCCATCTTGCTGAAGGTAGTTTTTCATTTAAAAATGTCTATTGGCAATGTCTCACCAATTCACATTTCTCTGTAATTCTCTACAACTTTAAAGGAAGAGGAGTCCTCCCCAAAAGCACCTGTCTGTGAGGTCATTAATGTATACCTATTTCGCTAGTGTTTTGCCCCAATTAATTTTCTCTCTTTTCTTTTTTTGAGCTGCAACACGTGCCATGCATGATCTTACTTCCCCAACCAGGGACTGAACCCACACCCCCTGTACTGAAAGCATAGAGCTTTAACTGCTGGACCATCAGGAAAGTCCCTGCTCTAGGATCATTCCTATTCAGGGATTTTGGGATGGAGTGGGGGAATATGGATTTTTAAGAGGATCCCAGGTGATCTGATGTACAGCCCAGGACATCACATGTGAAGGATTCTTCCAGCCTTTAAGAGTCTGGCTGACCTCCAGATGGTTCCAGAAGTTGACCCAAGGCCCAGGAGACCTCTATAGCCCCTCACCTCCCCAGTCTCCTTACCAGGTAGCACCCCTTCCAAGACGCTCCCTCTGAAGACATCCTGGGTGAACGTGGGCTTGTGGTCATTCTGGTCTGTTACAATGATGGAGATGTTCATGGGATCTTCCACAGAGGCGCCGTTCTCCGACACAGCATGGCCAAAGAGCTGTGGGTGCACAGGTCTGTGATCAGTCTGGCACTCCCCTCCCCAACAGCTCTGGGGCCCTGCTGGATGCTAAAGGTTACTTGCCTCATACTTGGCAATCTTCTCCCGGTCCAGTGGCTTATTCAGCAACAACCAGCCTGTTTCCTTCTCTATGGCGAAGACACCCTCTGGTGGGCTGTCTGCCCCAGGCCCTGTGATGCTGTAGAAAATCTTGGTGCCTCTGTCCTTATTAGATTTGAGCTGGAAGCAAAAGAAAATGGCAGCTGACAAAATGATAACGATCTCACAACTGTAGCAAAGAACCCTCCATGGAGAGCGGTGGAGAGGCAATGCCTGATCAGAAATTGCTCCCATCACAGAGGCTTTCCTTCTGGAGGCCCCAGGGCTCAGCAGCAAGAAACCTCATACTCAGATCTTTGAATGAGGGTCCCTGCAGCCACCAAGACCCCCGGGGGGAAGGCACAGCCATACCTGATTCAGCCTCTGGGGGAAAGGACCCTTGCCATTCTCAGGCACAGATATTGGTGGGACCACCCATTCTCTCTTGCGCCTTCGTAAGACAGGTACGGGTGGGGAGATCTTCGGTGCTTTCCTTTCCTGCAGGGAGAGAAGATGCCTTAACCTAGGTGTGCAAACACACCTGGAACACACCTATCATCCTCTCACCTACAGGAGCTCAGGGTGAGGAGACCAGAGGCCTAGATGGGTGTATTGCAATAGAAAACTTGGAAATAATCTAAGTGTTCACTTACAGAGAAGGCCCAATTAAATACACTGTAATATATCCATCTAGTGGAAACTGTATACAGTTTGAAAAATGAGGATGAGGAAGGTCTCTCTGTGCTGATATGGAAAGATCTTTGATATACACTTAAATAAAAAAGAACACAGTACAAAACAGATTAATATATTAACAGTTTAGTACTCTATTTAACAAACATTTATATAGGGCTTCATATGTACTTGGCATAGTTCCATCTTTTGTGTAAAAGAGTAGAGAAATAAGGCATATATTCATATCTCCCTTTGTTACACAGAGTTTGGGGGATACTAGGGAAACCAATAATGGTGGTTATCGGTGAGAAGGTGAGAGGCCTTGTACTAATTTTTTTTTTGCTTATTTTATAAAATATTTTAAAAATTCAATTTTATATTGGATTATAATTCATTTACAATGTTCAGTTGTACTGATGTACTTTTTTAGTTTATTTTTTTATTGAAGTGCAGTTGAATCACAATGTTGTCTTAATTATCGCTCTACAGCAAAGGGACTTAGTTGTACACACACCTACTGATGTATTTTAGTGCAAAGAGAAAGTGAAGCCATGGAAATGTTATGTTATTTTTTTCACAAAAGAGGGAAAAGTCTGTTTTATACCTACATATATAATATACATAAATATATTTAATATAAATATAGAACAAATACATAAATCAATTCTAGAAGGAAAGAAACTGGTAATGGTAACCGTGTATTCTGTTAGAGGGGCGGAGAAGGCATTAGGCAGGTGAGGAGAAACAAGGGGAGGTTATGTGTTCTGTAACTTCAGTATTTAAAATTTTGGAACCATGTGGATATATTTAGCTGTTCAAAGAATTAAAACAAAGAAAGAAATGTGGCCCAGAGCTTCAGGTCCATCTTCCCAGAGGGTCATGGGATTGACAGTCCCATGTTGGGATTGCCTTCACTTGTGGTTTACCCTCAGGATGTGAGAAAGACAAAAAGGAAGATGGGACAGAGAATTCCAGGGAGGAAGGGCAGGCCCCACTCTGGCACCCCCTACTGGGCAGCAGCAAGCACTGCCCTGCTTAGATGGTTGCCCACGCCCACAGCTATGGGCAACCGATGGCTAACCCTGCGTGCTCTGCAAGGGTAATGTGGCTCCCGACAGCCAAGGCAACTTCGGACTCCTGGCCAGCAGCAAGCCGGGCGTACACGGAGAATATGTCTTTCTTCTGTCCTGCAGGTGCACACGGCGTTTTACCTGGACTGTTTCATCGTTCAGAACAATGACGTCATCGTCAGTCATCAGGACCGACTCTTGCCCAGGGCAGTCTGTGAAGACCACTGTGGGGAAGGGAGGAAAAGAGTATTAGGAAGGAGGCAGCTTCTGGAAGCTACCCCATGGGAACCAAGACCTGACAACAGCCCCCTGACTGGATCAAGGGCTGTTCCAGGCCACTGCAGAAGGAGACTTGACTTACTTGATCTGACCAGCTGTGTGACCAAAAATGAGTTTCAGATGGGCTCCCAAGTTTGGTCTTGAGAAGGAGGACCACTTCACGGTTTGTGGGATAAAGAACCAAGACCACAGATATTTATCAACATGAGACCCATGGAGTCTCACAAGACCCACAGTTGACCCAAGGTCACAGCCGGAGGCAGAAGAGTTGATGCATTTCTGAAGGCTACATGTCTCCCTACAAGCCATATGCATCCTGCTATGCAGTCACCCACACAGATCATACTGATAACCTTTGGCTGTTTCAACTTGTCATGTTCTTTCTGAATTCTCCCTGCTTGGCCACCCTTTACATAAGTAGTCTGAGTTAATAACTACCATTCGCTAAGCTGGAGACTGGGTCCATTTCATCTTTACAACTATGCTACCAAGGTAGGTATTAGCCCCTTTTCAAAGAAGAGACAACTGAGGTTCAGAAGCCTGACCCCAAGGCATATACTAGAGAGTATTCACACCCAGTATTCTTACCCACCCTTCCCTGTGGCCAAGCATGTAATTAGGAAACCTGCCGGGGGGTACCTCTGGGCCTGTCAGCACCATGCTCTGACTCAGGGGTTCCCTTATGTTGGCTTCTGTCGGTTTCCTAGGCTGCAGCACTACAAGGTCCACAGGGAGAGTACTGTGCCATGAAAAGGTCAGGGTGAGGTCTCCCAAGTGTCCTTTTTTGAAAAATTGTCCTTTAGTTTCAGATGATGATGATAATTGTTTTAAAAACCCTTCCCTAAAGAAAGGTTAATAGATAAGAGACTGTAAACTATAAAAGTAATGTGAACATCATGAAGTATTCAAAGCAATATATAAGAATATAACATAAAATATAGAATTCCAAATAATATTCTGCTATATAATGAATTCCTAATCTCAAGAACAACAAAAAATACACAACCCAGCCTATAAAGAAAAAGACAAAGGTGAAAAGACATTTCTTCAAATAAGGTATACAATTGGCCAGTAAGCATATGAAAAGATGCTCAATACCACTATCATTTGGGAAATACAAGAGCTTCCCTCATAACTCAGTTGGTAAAGAATCCGCCTGCAATGCAGGAGACCCTGGTTCAATTCCGGGGTCGCGAAGATCTGCTGGAGAAGGGATAAGCTACCCCCTCCAGTACTTTTGGGCTTCTCTTGTGCCTCGGCTGGTAAAGAATCTGCCGCAATGCAGGAGACCTGGGTTCAGTCCCTGGGTTGGGAAGATCTCTTGGAGAAGGGAAAGGCTATCCACTCCAGTAATCAAAATCACAGTGAGATATCACTTCATACCTACTAGGGAGGCAAAAAAAAAAAGGTAAATAAAATGTAAAGACAAGGAAGTCTTCTGCATTGGAAATGTGAAATGGTGCAGCCACTGTGAAAAAGTCTGGTGGCTCAAAAAGTAAACATAAAATTACCATATGATCGAGCAATTCTACTTCTTGGTTTACACCCTAAAGAGCTGTAAGTAGGAACTCAAACAGACACTTATATATGTATTTTCATAGTATCCCTATTCACTTCCCTGGTGGCTCAGAGAGTAAAGAGTTTGCCTGCAATGCAGGAGACCTGGGTTCGATACCTGGGTCAGGAAGATCCCCTGGAGAAGGAAATGGCAACCCATTCCAGTATTCTTGCCTGGAGAATCCCATGGACGGAGGAGCCTGGTAGGCTACAGTCCACGGGGTCGCAAAGAATCGGACACGACTGAGCGACCTCATTTTCTTTCATTTTCTATTCACAATAGACAAAAGATGGAAACAACACAAGTGCCCATGAAGATCTAATAAACAAACACAATGTGGTCTAAACATACAATGAATATACACACATACATGTATAAACATACATTCTTTATAAGGAATGAAGTTCTGACACATGCTATAACTTGGATGAATCTTGAAAACATTATGCTAAATAAAATGTCATACAAGTGTGTGCATGCTCAGTCGTATCTGACTTAGCGACCTCATGGACTGTAGCCTGCCAGGCTCCTCTGTCCATGAGATTCTCCAGGAGAGAATACTGGAGTGGGTTACCATATCCTACTACAAGGGAACTTCCTGACCCAGGGATCAAACCTGAGCCTCCTACATCTCCTGGATTGGCAGTCGGATTCTTTACCACTGTACCACCTGCCAGGCACAAAAGTGACTGCACTTATATGAGGTACCTAGAATCCTCAAATTAACAGTAAGTAGAACAGAAGTTATATGGGGCTGGCGGGGGGAATGGGTAGTTATTGTTTAATGGGTATTGGAGTTTCTGTTTGGGATGATGACAAAGTTCTGGAGATGGACTATGGTGAGGTGATAGTTGCACAACAATTTAAATGTACTTAATGCCACTGAACTGCTTACTTTAAAAGAGTCAAAATGGTCGATTTTATGTTATGCACATTTTTACCTCAATAAAAAAGAAAAGAAGCAACCTGAAGTAGGAATGCAAGATGGGATAGTCACTTTGGAAAACAGTTGGGCAGCATTTACTGAAACTAAATATACATGCTCCCCAAGACCCAGTAATTTTACTTTGAGGTATGGACCCAACAAAGATCCACTCACTCAAAGACAAGTATAATAATATTGAGAACAGCTTTATTTATCATAGCTAAAGACTGGAAACAGCTTCAATGTCCCTCAAGGTGGAATGAATAGAAATGTGGTGGAATATTCACATAATGAAATAAATCAATTACAAGGACATACAACAACATGAATGAATCTCACAAACATGGTTAAGTGATAGAAGTCAGATACAAAAGGACACAGGTATGATTCCATCAACATGAAGTTCAAAAACAGGTAAAACTGGGTGAAAGAACTTAAAGACATTGGCCATCTTTCGGGGAGAGGAGTTGTAAATGGAAGGGGGAGGAAAATGGTCTCAAAAGCCTATAGACCTGACTTCAGTGCCCCAGAGCCCCAGAGCTCATACACAAGGCAGGCTCCTTCATGGGAAAGCTGGAATGTACCCGTGAGAAAGAGAAGATTGCTTAGAAACCAGCTCTGCCTCCTTGACAGCATCCCCACTGAGGAGTCCTGGGCTGTGACAACATGCTCGGCTAGCGAGAGGAGGGGAAAAAGAGATCTAGGCCTGAGTCAGCTCCGAAGGGCCCCAAGCACAGGGAGATCCCCATGGGGACCCTGCCAAATTTATTTATTTGACTGTACTGAGTCTAAGTTGTGGCATGTGGGATCTTCCATGTGGCGTGCAGGATCCTCAGTTGTAGAATGCAAACTTTTACTTGTGGCATGCAGGATCTAGTTCCCTGACCATGGATCGAATCCAGGGCCCCCTGCACATTGGGAGTTTGAAGTCAGCCACTGGACCACCAGGGAAGTCCCTATAGTAAGAGTTTTTAAATTATCTACAGAAGTTCTTATTCTATGAAGATATAGTATGCAGAATGTAAAACTGCATATATAGTATAGGTAACTCTGCACAGGAAAGAAAAAAAAAACAACACTGGAAAGAAATGAAGCTTTCCAATGGCTGGAGTTACCAGCAACTTATTTTCTTATTTTTCTCTAGGTCCAATTTTTCTCTTAACATGATTTGTGTCCCCACCCCCTCAAATTCATATGTTGAAGTCCTAACCCCCAGTACCGCAGAATGAGACCATATTTGGAGAAAGGGCCTTTGAAGAGATGATTAGATTAAAATGAGGTCATGAAGGTGGGCCCTCATCCAGCATGATGAGTGTCCTTTAAGAAGAGGAGGAAATTTGGAAACAAGACAGTTACAGAGAGGACTATGTATAGACACATGGAGAAGCCCGCCATCTACAAGCTAAGGAGAGATTCCTCAAAACAAACCACCCCTGCTGATCCGTGCTGATACTGGACTTCAAGCCTCTTGAGCAGTGAGAAAATAAGTCTCTATGTTTAAGCCCCTCAGCCTCTGTTTCTTTGTTACGGCAGCCCTAGCTGCCTAGAATACGACAGGCATCCATCGAGAGTCAGGAATCCCTCCCGTCATGAATTACTATTATTTACAGCTAACATGTTTATACTTTCTCACTTAATCTTCACCAAGCACCCTATGAAGTAGATTTTAGCACCCATTTTCTAAATTGGGAAGATGAGAGGTTAAGTGAATTCACTAAAGTTACATGGCTAGGAAATGGAAGAGCTACAAGTGGTACCTAGACCTGTCCAGATGGAGTTATTTATTTTTTAACCACTATGGTTATATTGGGGCTTCCCTGATAGCTCAGATGGTAAAGCTGCCTACAATGCAGGAGACCCGGGTTCAATCCCTGGGTCGGGAAGATCCGATGGAGAAGGAAATGGCAACCCACTCCAGTATTCTTGTCTGGAGAATTCCATGGACCAAGGAGATCCCAGTCCATGGGGTCTCAAAGAGTCAGACATGACTGAGCGACTTCACTCTATGGTTATGTTATCTTTCTGATACACCTGAGAGTGTGTTTTCTTATCTCCTCCCCAGCCCCCATTACCTGTTGTCCTTCTCCATCTATTGAAATAGCAAAGATTGATTTTAAGATGCCCAGTGGAGCAATGTGATATTTGGAGTAAAGTACTAGATTTGGGGATAATAACAATAACTCTCTTAGAGTTGTGAGGACTAAATGTAAAGAGCTGAAAAATAGGAAAATGCATTATGGCTGGGTCTGCTGTTAATATTATTAATGGAGATAAAGACCCATTCTTGTGTAGGCAGTGACCTTAACTTGCTGGGTGAGCCTGGGAAAGGCGCTTGACTTCTCCGGACCCCCAGAATCAATTGTTTGCTAAAGCTTTGAGCCTAAAGCCTACCTTCCTTTGGTTTGAAAGGAGAGAAGTATGCTATTAAAAGATGTATTCAAGAACGGCAGGAGCAAACACAG